CCTCCGGGCTAAGTCCCTTGCCTCAGTTAGCAAGAGGCAGCCTTGCATTCTTCCTTCTCCGGGGCTAGACCCTTTCTGACACACAGGAATGACTTTCCTCCACGGGGGGAATGACAGGTGCAGAAAAGGACTGGAGCGGAGGTGAGAAATAAGAACAGCCAAAAAGCGTATGGCTTACTCTGGCACTGTTTACAAAATTGACCAAGATAAACAGAAACAAGGACACTTAAAATGAACATCACATTTTTATTCACGAAATTGACTCTTTTCATGGCAAATATTGTCTGTGTATGAAATATCAAAATGATTTCCTTCTCAAAAAAAATTTTTTTTGTTCTTGTATTTTTTTAGTTTTGGAATGTACTTACCTAGCTTGCTCATGCTAACTTTGAACTTGAATTGCTCATTGTCCTCTGAAAGGATGCAGGATTATGGTGCCTCCTGGTGTGGACTACAGAACTCCTGACATCGCAGTGCTTGGGGTGGTCTCGGGCTGTGACTCCTTCCACGCTGCCTGGCCCAGTTCCCTGTGACACCGATGTTCCTGTGGTCACCACATTCCTGTCGATGGCCTCCGTGTCATCACTCTGGGCCCGGGCTCCCGTTGAGAGATGTTGGTTGGCCAGGTCCTGTGATTTAGCACATCCTAGAAACATCTGCAAAAATATCTCATCGCTTGACACAGCCATCAAAACCTGAGTGGCAAAGATTAACCGTGACTTCTTCTGGGCCCTGATAGTGTGTGCCCCTTAACCCTGGGCGTGAAGCGTATTCTCCCTGCTGCCACACTTCCACCCATGGGGCCTTGGCTGCAGACATGGAGAGCGGTTCCACGTTGAAAAATGCTCTACACAGAGGTTCTGATTTTTCATGATGTCAGCTAAGAATCCTTCCTGTGAATCCCTACAGTTCTAACAAGGTCATCAAGCCTGCTGCCTGTGGAGGAGAGATGAGAACAGAGCAGGTGGCCTCAGTGGAGAGGGGTGTTTTCTGTTCGTATGAGGGCAAGAGCAGCGGATAAGCTCCGCACATATCTTGATGCCGAAGGGACGAGGAAGCCCCCTGACTGCTGCACTGGCCTTCAGACCAAGGCTAGGTCTTTCCGGGGCCACGGAGGTAAGGATTTCTTAGGCACCTTCTAGAACGACCCTAAATGCCACCTGCTAAATATGCTACATGTGAATATGCTCAAAGGAGGAGAGGAAACCATTAACTGGGGGAAAAATGCTTTATTTATACTGGGGAAGCTTATGCTTTTCCTTTGAATTTTCTTTTATATATGAAGTATTTGTCCAAGCCCCATTCTCAGACATTATCTTCAACTAAATTTCCACCCTTAAAGTAAGCTGGTCTTATGGTGGGAAAGCGTCCTTTGTGGGAGTTGGTGGAGAAATGTGCTTTTTAAGACAAATAAACCAAACACACAAACACTCCTGATGGAAGTTCAATGCTCTTGAAAAAGGGGCTTTTAGTATTAGCTTTTCTCAGCATGGGTTTCTAAACATTCAGAGGAAAAGAATGTAACAAATTGTTCACCCTAGAAATTACATTTACTTCCAGTTCCTATGATCCAGATTGAAGGAGGACACCAAGAGCAGAAATGGGTGCTGAGGGCCAGGAGCTGGAGCTCCGGGGGCCAGAAGCAGCTCGTGTGTGTGTGTGTGTGTGTGCACGTGTGTACATATGCCCGTGGGAAAACAACATGGGCCCTAAGCATCTATTGCACGACACAACCATAAATCAGATTTATGTTGGTAACTTGTGTTTGTCAACTGGCCCACCTGCTCCCTGCCAGGCATTCGTGGAGGAGTTCAGAGAATGCCTGCCTAACCCAACAGGACATACACAGAAGCACTTAGTCTTTTAACCTTCATAGTGGTTCAAAATGTTTCCTCTGACCGTAATGGGCCTACGGTTATGACTATGCATTTTACATCCTCTCTCATACACCTGTCCAACTCTGGCTTCAAGAAATAAACCACATTTGCTGGAGAACCGAAAAGACCCGAACTTGACATAACTGCTGCTCTATTTTGGGAAGGAAACATAAAGGAAGGAATTCCCTGAAGGGTAGAATTAGAAGAGTTTTAACAGTTACCCTAAATGTACCTATTCACACACATACTGTGCAAGACGAGTCAAAGGTATCGCCAAGTGCCTCCTAGTTCTTTGAGCATTGTTACTTCCTCAGTGGTGACCACAACAGATGTCCTTGTGATAGTTCAATCCTTACATGGAAACTTCAAAATTAGAGACCTGATGTTTCCAGCGAGGAAGTTAAAAAGAGAAAAGAAGTTTACACATTTTATGATACATGATTTTATTTACATAACTGAAATTATTTCCTTAGTCACCTTGATTACAAAAGCAAATTCACATGGTATGGTTTAATAACCTTTCATAAATAGATTTTACAAATTTTAATAACGGACAGATTGCTACTTAATACTCAGTAATACTTAATACCTAGTAACTTTGGTGTATATGCATACGAAAATTGTCCAATAGGACTAGTAAGTGAGAGTGCTTTTAAAACTCAGGATTAGACAATTAGATAACTGGTCAAGGGTTAATTCCCCATCACTGGGTCAGCCAGTTAGACCTGGAATTCTCACCCTGCCAATAACAAACCTATGGTGGCAACTCGCACTTATTGAGTAGGTATTTTTTAACAAGTTGAGAGAGTTTATTCTTTTTTTCTGCATTTAATAAGACTATCATTAAGCACATCTGAAAACCAAAAGTTGACCACAACTAGGTATTTCTAAAAGAACTTACCACAGTGTGTCTGAAAAACGGCCTCAACTAAAGCCACGTTACCGCTCTAGTAAGTGTTTTTCCAGCTCTCTTTCCGGGTTTGTGTGCACACGCATATACACACACCCCGTGAGGCTCTGATGCATACTCATCCAAGCTACAAAAATGCCCTAATTTTACTGCTTTTGTGAAATGCCTATAAGATACAGTATTTGGATGAGACACTGTCAGTCCCTCACCGTGCTTTAAGTCTGAAGACCAGGCAGGGTGTTGGTAACTGACTCTCTCCGGCAAAGTTGCAGAAAGAGGAGCTGCTGGGGACTTCCCAAAAGCCACCCCCACAAGATGGGAGGAGTGCTGAGTGTCCGTGACCACAAACAAGCAGTGAAGAATGACAAGAAGCTTATGAGTCATGGTCAGAATCTAGTAAACAAAAATGTCCTCCTAGAGCAGCATCATGTTACAAACATAGAAAAGAGTGGATACACGTACCTTTTCACACAAGCTCTATGAGAGCCAAAACAGTGTCTTTTCCACATCAGAACTGTAATCAGAGGTACAGCAGTCCTCGGTCATTGTCAGCGTTACTTCTAATATAACTGGCTGAATTGTCCCTTTTAAACCGAGCACTAACCCCACCCACTCCTCCTGGGTGAGATGAGCCACTGCTTGTGGGGCCCTGGACGTGCGGTGCGCTGAAGGCTGGCAGCAGTGGGATTCACAGCAACCAAGTCTGCTGTCAGCAATCCTTGGACCGGAGGCCACTCCACTCAAATGCCCCTTTTCCTTCACACTGTTCTTGTCAGGGGCCTGTGATCACTCAGTGATGGGGACCAAAGTGTCTGGTGAGCCCTCTCCCCTCACACTGCCCCTCTACATCGCAAATATGGCAGCCAATCTCTCCATTGTGCTACATTTAAGAGTCATTTAAATCATGGTAAAAATCAAATGTCTTCCTAAGAAAAGGTGCCATGATTCTAAAAAACCGTTCTCAGGATCTCAAATGCTGAGGGGAGGCCTGTCCCGAGGACCCCTCATCCCCCCCAGCCCTGGCGGGGCTTTAGACCCCACTCTAAGGCCTTGCTGGGCTCTTGTTCTGAGCCAGGACATGTCGTTTGGGCCAGTTTTTTTTTTTTTTTCCTGTTGCCCTTCTGGTGTGTGTGCTTCATGTTTAAATCTTGTTGCCCTGTTTGGCGGCAACCAGAAAAATCAAACAGCTCAGGTAGTGAGTGAGGCACCCACGTGTGTGAGCACAGAACGTGTGGTTGTCGCCGGTGAACAAGGACCAACACAGGGTGCTGCCGAGGGCCGAAGAGGAAGGACTAGCTAAAGGCTGGACTTGCAACTCTGGTCCAGTGGCTACGTCTGCCAGGAGGGAAAATCACCAGCCAAGTGTCAAGTGCACAAAGGAGGGGCCGGCACACTTTCCGTTCTCGGCATGTTTCTTCCCCTCAGGAGTCCGTTACCTTTCACAAAGAAATGTTAACTATCAAATGCGTCCATTAATTGTGCCGCTGAGGGTGAAACCATCCAGTTAGCATATACACTATCATTTGCATATCTTGGACACACAGTGTTAGTGCCATCAGCTCTCGTGAGTGGTACAGGACTCTCTTCAGGCCAGTTCGGGTCTGACATGCCTAAAAATGAAAACAGATCATTTGTTCTGCACTGAAGAACCAAAACTTCATGTGCAGACAGTAAGGCCTTGGCAAAACTCCCTTTGAGGTTCAAACCAAACTTTCTGGTTTCTGTGCCAATTACATGAATGCTTTCGTGCTCCAGGTTTCCAAAACACTGTTATAGTTTGGGGGGAAAGATCACGTGTTCTCTTGGTAACTGGAACTTAACAGAAACTACCAATTTTGCCTTTTTTATGAGCTTCGAACTCCGAAATCTGATATAAATATTTGTTGACCTGTTTAAGTCTTTTTTCTAAGACAGCATAAAGCATTGCTGAATTAAAGGGCTTACTGCAGTGGGAAGCTTCTATAAAAAGTTCTCTAACGTAAGAAGCCTACTCGTCTTCCATCCAAGCCCACCACGGAGGAGAGAATCTTCCAAATCAGGGGTGCACGCGGGCGAGCCCCACAGCGTCGACAGGACAAATGGCGTGTAGCGCTAGACCCAAAGCCAGCAAGGAATCAGTGACTCAGGAGGCATGCAAAAGGAACAATCTCGGCTGAAAAATGCTTGAAACTCCAAGATTTAAAAACAATCAATGATCAAGTTAGGAAACAGAAAAATTTTCAAGTATTTAATCAAAGACAAAAGAAGGAGTTTTGGCAAGAACCATATTTACTGTCCATTGCAAGACCACAGCACCACAGACTATGTTCTTTCAAAAGCATTTGCTCCAGCTTTTAGCACTGACTTCATGAGTGACAACTGTCATGACAGTGTGTAATGCAAAGGATGTGAAAACAGCAGTCTGCAGGTGTCCTCCCTGATAGTGGGCATGTGGGCGGGGCTCAGGCCGGGCGGGCCAATGCTCCCTAGTACCGAGTGGCCTCTGAGAGCCACCTGCCCGCCCAGGTGGGGTCTGGGAGTGACCACAGGCTGTGCCCTCAGTGCAGGCAGGGTGGTGCTGGCTCCTCCTGTCTCAATTAACTGCCTCCCCAGATTGGGTAAACTTATCCCAGTAGTTAAATTAGAAGTACTATGACTTGATACATACCCACCCCAGAGACGACTTATTTATCATTTTCTCAATATCCCCTGAGAGTTCTGCCCAGCTCCCTTTCTTCTCCATAATCATAAGTTGCCGGGCAGTGTGGTAATTATACTTATTTTCACATCCTTTTAAAAAAACATAGTTTCAAAAATGCCCGAATGTAAACGGATGCAAAGTCAGACATTTACAAATAAAAAGGTTCAGGGAGAACTTTGGTTTCATTCAGATCAGAAACACTCTTAAAAAGCATTACAGAGAGTAAGGATAGTGCAGAGAGGAACGATGTTGCTAGAATCTAGTAAATGCATGTGAAATTCTACCATAGAGTTTGTTTTCAATCCACGTGGAGGGGAGGGCTCGAGGGAGGGGAGCATTATTACAGTCCACCAGGGGCGTCTCCTCCTCCGAGAGGCCGTCGTCGTAAAGCAGGGAGTCAGATGGGGTGGACGCGGCCAGGTCCAAGTAGTCCTGGAAGAGAGAGACAGCCGGTCACCCCGGCGTGGGCCACAACCAGACTTGCGCCCTGCCTCTCCCCGCCTGAAGGCAGAAGCCCTGGTTAGGTCCCACCCTGTGTTGGCTTACTAGCCTCTCTGTGAGACCTGAGCCCTCGCCAGAGAGCCCCCTCTCCCAGGCTCTGCTTCGCTGGCTCTGCTCCACAGCCCTCATTGCTTCCCGTAGAAATTCACCTTCTTGGGGCAGAAATGGGCTCCTTCATTGCCCTAGTGCTACCTCTTGCAGCATAACGGGGGCACCACACCCAGCGCCGGGGAACTGGCCTGTTTACCAAACCCGAGGCTCTGGGAGAGCTCACTGTAGCCCCATTACTCATGTGGGAGTGCCAAGAAGCATCTCCGATTTACTGGACACTTTTCAGCTTTCCTCTGAGGACCCCTACCGTCTAGAACAGCATGTCAGGACTCAGAAATCTGAAGTCCTCGATGTGAGTTTTGCATAGGATGCTGCTATGAGCTTTAGCTCCTAAGCCTGATGATTTCCCAGAGGCTTCCACTGCTGCCGCCCTGGTTAAATATGTCAAGAACAGTTCTAGCGTTTTCCTGGCTGTTTCTCAGCTCTGTTCTAGGAAGGCTGGCTCTCTTGGCATCACCTGTTATTTTTATTTAATGTAACCCTGTGTTCACAGGATTTGGAGGCTTGGCCCAAGTGGTACACTGATGTTAGGTTTTATTACAAGCAGCCTTCATACACAGTTTTTGTGTATGAAGAAATGCCACCTTTTAGTAAATGTGTCAATGCTAAGATGAAACCCTGAAAGCAAGATCTGTGCCTGTCTTGTTGACTTGTATTTCCAGCATCTGAGACAGAATATGATACACAGCAGTTGCTCAATAAATATTAGTTGAAACTTGTTGGCTTTCTCATTTACCTTATAGAGTTGTAAGCTGGAGGCACATGGACTGAATCTAGCCTCCCAGATATGCTTTATTTGGACCAGACTGAGCATTTGGAAATTTAAATGAGTTATTAACATTAAAGATTGGAAAACTTAACATAAATATCCTTTAAAATTCAGAAGACCTGACACTCTGGCACTCATATTCCTCTAGATTGTGTGTGGCTACAGTGAGGGATCCTTCAGAGCGGCTGTGCGCTCCTGGTCGCCACAGTCCCCACCACTCCCTAGCCACTGCCGACCCCCAACCAGGCCCCTCACAGCATTTGAGTTTAGAATACCCACTTCAACTCTACCCTCTCATGTTCCCTTACTAAAAATTATTTTGACCTTGGAATATTTGCCTCCCACACCTGTCTGGAGAGTTCTAAATATAAAGGGAAGAATCTTGGTTTATGATTTGAGAAGGGGCCTGGTTCAAGGAGAAGGGTTCAGTCATTAGCTGCCCTTGGGGGACAGCACGACCATCTCCCTTTGCACAGCCTCACTCTGCCCCTGCACTGGGAACTCCATAGAACTGGGGTGAGGCGGGAACGCCCCACTGCCACGTTCAGGCTGCTGGTGGCCGACACCAGGAATTGGCTCCAGGTACTCACTCTGTTCTTAACCATCATCTTCTCCAGGTCTTTGCTGATGTCAGCAAACACTGGCCTCTTGTCTGGTTCCTGCTTCCAACACTGCAGCATTAGACCGTACCTGGTGGGGAGCACGGATGGGCAGTTAGGACTCAGCTAGGACTGCCCCATCATAGCCGACCCAGCACTGTGCCCTGGGCCCAGAGGGCTCTGTTCTCAAACCCCAAAGCCATCTCTGCGTCATTGACATCCTTCTCTGAGCTGGGCCAGGATCTGAGGGGTCACTAGGCGCTTAGGGTGCCTAGTGCTGTGGTCCAGCATCTTGTGAGTCTCCTTTCCCTTGAGAAAGATTTGTCTTCACTTCCCTTTCAGAGATGCTGATAAATAGCTGACAGGATGCCATACCCACTATGGTGGCTGAGGGAGCAACACCGGTCTTTCAAACTCTAATGAAGTATGACCTGGTTGTAGAAACAAACAAAACTTCTGCCAGTCATACCTCTGTCTGGTGCCTTCCTCACTTCCTCATTTCCCTGGGTCCCTGGCATGGCTGCAGGGCCCCCAGGGCTGCCATGTGACTGTGTGCTAGGCCAGCCAGCCTCCAGCCCAGGCCACCCAGGGAGATGGCACCTACTCACCCCTGCACTCCCGCATTTAGCTCTGAGCCAGGCACATGGCAGGCACACAACAGATTTTGTGGGACGAAGGGACAGCATGTTTCTGCTAGTGATGGCCCCTTTCTCATGTGTTCTCAGCCCGTCCTCTGAGAATCATCTGCTGGAACCACCGTATGTGAAGACTCTGGCGCTCTTGGGCTGTGGTGCCAGGTCTTTTTGCCTGCCCCCTCCCGACCTCTCTATCTCCACATGGGCACTCCCCAACATGCACCCCTAAGGTCATCCTGAATCACCTGCCCCTCCCCAAGGGTCCTGTGGGGACAGGCCTCGGGCTTAATCTGCTCCCTGGGCCTGAAGCATCCTTTGATCCTTCCCACTACTTCTCGTTGGCCCTACTCCCTCTCATCCATGTAAGTCTCCCCCCGACCCCAGGAAGCTCACTCAGCCCCCAGCAAGAGTCAGGATGCCCAGCATCTGCCGTCGTGCCCAGTGGTGGTTCTCTGACTTCTGCCTTGGCATGGTCTGCCCTGTTCCTACCTAACACCCGGTTCACCCTGGTGCCCAGGGCTGCTCGGGAGCAGGGAGGGAGGGAGTATGTTGTCTGTGTCTGAGGGAGGCTGGGCCAAAGCAAAGCCTGCTCACATCTCCTCACTGCAGTTGTCGGGCCTCTCCATCCGGTAGCCTGTCTTCAGAAGGTTGAAGAGCCGCTCCGGAGGAATCCCGGGGTAGGGGTTGCCCCCCAGAGTCACAATCTCCCACAGCAGGACACCGAAGGACCACCTAAGAGGGGCGAGACAACCAGTGAGTGGCCGTACTGGGCTCAGCAGACCAGATGTCCACCCTCCCAGCAGCTGTTGACCACATCAGCCCCCGGTGCAAAGAGCCAGCCAAGGCCTGACTGTATGGACGGATGTGGAATGGAGGTGGGGAGAAGCCGTCTGCCTGCCCTGCTCACCTCTGCGATGCTGAAGCCCCACCAAGCTGCTGCCCAAGTTCGGACCCCACACCCACAACGGGTACTTGGCTGGCCCCGTGGAAATGCGCCAAAGCATCAGAGGCAGCACAGAGCTGCCGAGCAAGTCAGCAGCACGCAGGGCGGGGACCTAGACCACGGGGCACGGGGTTGCCTGCACAGTCCCTTCCCCTTTCCTGTGGGCTTGGCAATTTTCAAAAATCTTAGAAGAAAAAAGGCACTGCCACAGAAAAATATTTAACTGTGAGGGAAAATTTACTGTGAAGTGGGAACAAAATCGTATCACAAAACAGCATTATCACATGAGCCCACTTACAGCAATAAAAAGCATATACCTGCACACCACGGAAAACACTAGAAGGCCCATGTATGCCAGGACCTGCAGGAGTTATGTAGGGGCAGTGGGATCCAAGTGACTTCCAGTGTCTTCATTACCCTTATCTCTGCATTTTCCAACTGTCTACAGTCAGCTTTACGTAATCTGAACACAGCTGTTCAAAATTGTTCAGGAACTGCCTTTTCTCAGCCCACATTATTCAAGACATGCATGTCTGTTGATGGCAGAACACTTAGAAACAAGTCTGTTGTGTTTCTGGAAAACTATCAAGTCTTGTGATTTGACCTGAAAGGCCAAGTTTTGGTTCCCTAGTGAGCAGTTTGGGACACACCGGCCTAGCAACTCACTCAAGGCCACCCTACCTGTGGGTGGGGAACCACTCCACTCCCAGGGGACCTTGCCTGAGCCCAGCCCACACTCAGGTCCACAGAGAGGAACTGTTTGGCTGGGCCTGTGTGGCACTAAGATGCCCAGACAGGAGAGGGAGGGGCTGGGAAGGGGAGCAGTGAGCGGAATTTGCAGTTACCTGCTCACTGCTCTCACGCATTTCACTGCAACTCTCAGAACCACTGTGTGGGCCCCTGCCATTTGCTGCACGAATACATGAAGCCCCTTTAGCTTGGTCATTGCAGATGGATGGTACAAGCCAACAGGCACTTGTCCCCCAGCCAAGCTGCCCAGAGAGGCATCATGGCGCACGATACATGTAACCTGGACCCCAGGAAGGCAACACCCACACTTACACATCACTTTGGGTGGTGTAGATATGATCGAAAAGAGACTCAATTGCCATCCATTTAACTGGAATCCGACCCTAAACAGGGAATGAAGGAAAGGCATTAACATCGCTCTGACACCCTGGAAACCAGAGGTCGGGGTTGTGGAGGAGGGTGAGGCCGTGTCCCAGGCATTTCCAGCTCTGGAGGGACGCTGAGTAACGACATCCAGAGTGCGCCCAGATACAGAATTGGCAGCATGGCCTCAGAGGGGCTGCAACTCTAATCTGGGGCTCCCAGGCACGGCTGAGACGCTAGAGGGAGTCAGTTGGCCTGCTCACAGCTACACAAGGCATCCTTGTCATGCACCACATCCCTGCTGAGTAGAAACCCAAGGAATCATGACCATGCCCAAGCCAGGTTTCCCTACAGACAGGTCCAGAGGGCTCTGGGGTACCCTGAGTGGTGATGCCCAACGTGTGGGCCAAGAACGCCATCCAGCAAGATCTCCCCATTTCTGAGGGGGAATGAGTTTGGGAAACCAATTTCCAGCGTTTCCATCTTGGGGACTTATGACGCAAACCAACACACTAAAGTCTTTTCCGAGAAGCCCTGAGGGAAGAAATCTGTTTCCATGCCTTGGGGCTGCTTTTTCCACTGTCACTTTATCCTGGAACTCTGTTAGCCTCCTCTGAGAGAGTGCCCCCACTGTAGAGGCACTGCGGTCAGAGCTAACAAATGCTTTCCAAGGCGACTTGAGAAACAGCTCAAGTAGGTAGGTAAGTCTTAGGACACAACCCAACCAAAAATGCGTGCATTGCATTTTAATGCAACATGTCCCGTAATTTCTTTTTCTCTCAAAAAGCCTTCTTTAGGATTTACATCTTTAATGAAGGGTGATTTTCTAGGGCATGTGTTTATAACAACACTGCCTGCCGCCCGGGCTCTCTAGGGCGCCTCGTGCTTGGACACCTGTAGTTCTCTGCTCCATGACGTGGGCCGTTCTTGGGGGACTGGTGCATCAATAGGAAGACTCTGTCCACACCCCTGCACAGGCTGGGACACAGCCCCTCTCCACTTCCCCTTCAGCAGTTCTGAGATATCCTGTCACAAAGGAAACCCCAGAAAAAACGAAACCTCATCCTCACAGCCTGTGGCAGCACGGGCCTTCTCCTGACCCCTTACAGCAGATCTGAGGTCTACACAAGTTGCTTTTTGTATGTTGTTTTGAGCAGTGTCTGTTCTGAAGGCCAGTCAGCCGTGACTCCTGAACGGCCCTGTCTGTTCTGTCACAAGGAGGCTGCAGGGGAGCGACTAACAGGGCAGTAGAACTAGGAGGGTTAGGAGGGCCAAAGGGAACTGGACGACACAGCAAAGCAGATTTCCGTGGAAGGACCCCAGACCACCTATTTCAGAGGTTTGGAGAAAGTGTCGAGAACCCTACACAGGGTCTCTGGACTCCATCTCCAGGGCCTCTCTGTGAGCCTTCCAAACTCACCCAGCCAAGGGTTCCCAGGCCCCCGGCCCAGGGGAACCCCCACCTGTAAAGCAGTTCATTCCTTCCTGCCCCAGAATGACTGCCGCACTCAGGTGTATTGACTTCAGTCTCCTTTGAGCGAAGAGCTAAAGTTACACAGAGAGGAAACGGGACTTTCATCCTGTAGAAGCGAGAGGAACAACTGCAGAGACAACTATCATTTCTGCAGCACTAGGTGACCTTCAAAAGTGGTGGTGATTAAAAGCAAGAGACGCTGCGGGGCCCCGACTCCCTAGTAGGTGCTCTGAAAGGTCAGGTGTGGCACTCAGGAAGAGAAGGAACAGACCTGGGGTGAGTCCTGAGCTGGGTCTCTGGGGACCCAGGAACCAGGGAAGGATTTGAAGATGAGGGCTAGAAGTTCATACCCTAAGACTCTGCTCTCTGTTCCCCGATGTTCTAAGGGCTCTGCCCCCACCCACTGTGGGAATGCTGCCCCCTGCCCTCCACTCTGCCCGGGAGCCCTGGGCCACCCCTCGGGGACCTGGTACCTTGCTCCTCTTCACGTAGGAATCCTCTTCATAAACATCTCGGGATAGGCCAAAATCCGAAATCTTCATCTTCCGCCCCTCGGCTACCAGGACGTTTCTGGCGGCCAAGTCCCGATGGACAAGCTGCGAGGAAGACAACAGCAGGGACCCCTGAAACCTAGGTCCCCATCACAGGGAGTGGGGGCCCCAGCTGGCGCGGCACACACCTTCATCTCCGCCAGGTACCGCATCCCCCGAGAGATCTGCCAGGCGAAGGAGATTAGGTCGCCCATGGTCAGGGCCCGCTCCTCGGGGTTGTCCAGGTAGCTGGAGCTGCGGCTGCCTCCACTGCCCACGTAGCCCGGCCCCGCCTTGCGGCTCTCTCGGAGGAAGCCCCGCAGGGAGCCGTACTTGGCATACTCCACAATGAGGAAGAGTGGCCCTGGGCGGGAGGGGGTGGTGAGAGGGGGCTGTGAGCTGGCTGCCTGCAGAGCCCTGGGCCGTCAGAAGTCAGGCCAGCTCTGGGAGCACGGGAGGAGGGGGCAAGGTCCCCACACAGGCTCTGCACCCTACCAGAAGTGGGCAGAAGGATATAGCCCTGCTCTGGCCACTGGCCTGGGCTTCACGCAGCACAAATACATGTTTCAGTCCCAGCTCACTCTTGCACGGCTTGCTCTCCTTGGGCTGCCCATGCCAAAGCGGGCTCCCTGGGTGGATGAGCACAACCTTCTGGGGTGCCCATGGCAGGCGGCCACTGTGCTCAGTGCTCCCCTGGGAGGCACGCCCCTGCTGCTAGGATGTTATGTCTTTCTACTCCCTCGGCCCTGCTGCAGCACAGGCTGGGGACGGCAGATGCAGGCAGAGGATCCGAAGCCTCACATGGTGCCTGCTCCCTGCTCCCTGTTCTCAGCAGCTCTGAGGCTGCCGTCTTGGCCCAGGCCCAGCCTTGATTCCTGCTGGTGCCGACCAGCGCGTCCTTGCTGCCCTCTCCCTGGGGCACCCTGCCCTCTCGTACTCACAACATGCACATCTGCGCACACGTGCACACACACGGTGAGAGGCCCTTGAGGGGCACAGACCAGGCCAATCTCCTGTGTCCTTATGTGAGAAATGGTGACAATGCCTTCACCATGCAGGGCTGGGGTTGGGGTCACTTGAAGGTCATGGCACGCCTAGTCCCCAGGACACATCATGTTTCTAGAGCTCCCTGCCCTGGGGCTCCGCCTGGAACAGGGTGCTGACAAACCAGGATGTCACCAGAGGCCTCTGAGCAGCTGCAGCAGGCCCAGGGAACACGCTCGGAGCAGAGGCCTCATGCAATGCTCCTGCGGCAGCCCCTCCTGGTCCTCTCCCTGACACGGGAGGACGCAGGCTCCAGGTGGGGGCTGGAGCCACAGAGGACAAGGAAGGGGAAGGAGGAAGAATGAGGCAGCCCAGAGCCCTCAGCCTGCACTGGGCAGTTGCCTGCCGCTTGGCCGGCCTTACCATCCTGGCTGCAGGCCCCGTACAGCTTGATGATATGCGGGTGGTTGACCTGCTTCAGGAGGTTGAACTCTGACAGCAGGTCCCGCAGCTCGCTTGGGGAGGCGTTCTCTGAAATGCACATCAACACAGTGAGCTGCAAACCAATCCCTTCTAGAAGCCCCTTCTGTGAACACCCTGGGTCACCAGACCTACATCTTAGGTCTGCACAGACCCTGGTTATCTCCTTCCCACATAGCCTACCCAGGTTTAGACAAGGTCCCCAAGGACCCTGCTGCTCGGGACTTGTCTTTGCCTGTAGGATGGTCAACAGCGGCCTCATCTGCCTCCAGGGAATAATAACTCTGACGAGCAAACTTCTGCATCAGGAAAGTCTTTCCATGGAAACCCTTCCTGGACCAGGCTGTGTGTGTGTGGCAGTATTTCCCTGCAATTGCCATCTTTCAAGGACAGAAGTGCATAGAGACCGTCCTCACAAGTCCTTCTGGAAGGTAGGAGGACTGTCCCATGTCCTAAAGCACCTGCTGACCAAGCACTCAACAAGAGGGTGAGGCCCTGGAGAAAGCTGAAGGTGATGGGACTTCACAGAGGTGGCCTCCTGCCACGCTGAGCATATGCATCCTGAGTGGGGCAGAGCTGTGCGTGGGCTCCCACCAGGAGCTGACGCCTGAGGGGAGGGATTTGCAGTCAGAAGCTGTGGCTACACAGGCCTCCCAGGGCAGCTGCCCCACAGCCCCCTGCCAAGCGGTACCACATCGCCCTCTGGCTGCACGCTTGTCTGGAAGAGAGAGGACAGCTGGGAGAGGGTGTTGGGACCCATACATGGTGGCCTGGGGGCTGGTCTCACTGTGACCCCTTAGTGCCTGGGGCCTCAGGGGGGCATGGGGAGACCTTAGTCTGAGGGCCTAGGTAAGCATTCAGAATCACCCTGCACAGTGTAGCCCCGAGTGTTAAACTAGAATTCTCATGTGCACCTGCCAACTTGTACCCACTGCATGGCCACTGGGCCCTTGGTCCATGGGAACCAGAGTCATGGCAGAGGGCCGTCCACCCAGTCTCAGCTCAGAAACACCAGTGAGAGAGTGTGTGTTTGGGTGAGTATGTGCCCACTTAGAGCCGGACTTATGGCACGACTGGTCACAGAGGCAGAGCAGATCCATGGGGGGCCACCGGGGATCAGGCCAGGCAGGGCCCCAGGGGCCAGGGGCCAGTCCTTACAGGTGACTTCTTCACCAGGACCCCAGAGGCATTTGGCTGAGAGGAATGAATGGGGCAGACTAGGATGGGAAAACTGTCAGTTTTTAATTTTTTAAAAACTCAGCTCTTTACCCAACATTGGTGCAGAAGCAGCACCACTCTAGAACCTTCCAAGTGAGGAAAGTCTTCTTGCCCTGTTTCTCCAGGGACTACCCTGGCCCATGTCATCCATGGTGGTGGTCTCTAGAATGCAGCCACTCAAGAATAGCAACGGGGGGGGGCCTCTTTAGAAGGCCCCGGGCTGGCTACCAGCACCCTGGTTTTCAGGGTAGCTCTATCCAGCCCTCGGGGCTCCAACAGAGCCACCTGTTCACACTGCCCGGAGAGGTACCTTTCAGCATCTTCACGGCCACGGTCGTGTATCCTGCTTTGCCTTTAAGCCGGAAGGCTGTTGCCTTAACCACTTTTCCAAATTCGCCTTCTCCCAGAGTTTTTCCAAGAACCAAGTTCTTCCGAGGGAATTCCCACTTCGGATCCTCCTATGTGGGGTTGAAGGAAGGGGAAGAAGAGGAGGAGGGAGAAAGTTGGTGAGGATAAGAGAAAAGGAAGAAGACCAGGCCCATAAATGAGCCCCCAGCAGAGAAGCTCCAGTGTGCAGACCACTGCCACGTAACCTAGTGGGCACTGGTCATCCCCCTGCACCAAGGGCAGGACCCCACAGTTGGGCAGGATCCTACACCTTATGGGAAGATAGCTGTTGGCACAGAATGGCCTGGACTCTGGATGCCTGAACCCTTGCTTGTCCCTGGTCTACCAAACATGGCCTCAGCCTTCCCCGGCCCATGTTCTTGTCTCTCAAACAAGAAGTTCAGGGCTTACTTAGCACCCAGGGGGTGCTCACATGGGTGTGGCCTCTTCCCTCTACCCACCCTGCCTTCCCACTGAAATCCCACTCAAGATGACTCTGGGACAGCTTCCCAGACCCCAGCCTGGCCTCACATCCTTGAACTCTGACTGGGGATGCCAAAGCCTGTCCCGGGGATGCTGGAACCTCCCCTCCTGTGCCAGCACTGGGCGTCCACTGCCCCAAGCCTCCCTGCAGCTGGATGTGGGTGTGGCCTGGTGGTGCTCCTATGATGCACCCTGCCAGACTCGCCTGACCCACACAGATGACACCACTGGGCCTACTGTGCTGCTGAGCAGAGCCATGTTTTCCAACACCCAAATACAGGTGTGTGAGTGCGCTCCTTGTGGGCAGAGGCGGCCTCCTCTCAGCACCGTGTCTCAGGCTCCTGCTGGCCAGCTCCTGGGCATCCTGGTGTCGGCTCAGGTTCCCCAGGAACCCACAGTCAGGGGCAGAGTTGACAACATCATCGTTAGCCTGGTGTCCTTACCTCCTCACTGCACTGGATAAGCATTCACTCACTGCACATGGAAACTGCGCTAAATCTGTGCGGAGAGCACTGATTTGATCTTCTTAAAAGACATTAAAAATTCTCCCTACTTTATATAAGAGACAACTGAGGTCAAGCAGTTGAGTAACCTGTCGTCAGAGCTGGTCAGCGTAGCCCTTGGGCCTCAGGCTGGGCTCTGGCTTCTCTGCTGCGGGCCCAAGCTGACGTAGGCTGAGGGTGGTGTGTGTCCACTTGTTCGAGCACGCACCACCACTGCCCTTCCTGTGACCTCTCCGTAAACTGCCTGCATTTATAAAGGAATCAAATGGCTCATCCCAGACGCCTCCTGTGGAGGCCGAGATGCTTCCCGGGACAGGGGTCATAGACCCCGTCTGCTGAGCGACTGGAGCTAGGAAATCTAGGATAGAGGCCGCGGTGTCTACCACATGTGGGAATGGCTCCCATGGCCCAGACCCACACTAAGGGGTGAGCACCCTTGGGTGGCTCCTCCTACAAACCATGGCCACCTCCCAGCCCTGGTTGGGTACTGCCAAAGGCCTGGTGACTCCTGAGCTTTCTGCTTGGAGGTACCTGTCAAGGGGCGATGTTCCCTGCCAGGCCTTGGAGGTGGAGCTTCTGTTCACACACACCTCTCCTCAGTCCCTCTTAGAATCTGGCTTCCAGCTCCTTAGCAGTTGCCAGCAGGGACACAGAAGAAGCACGGCAGGCTGAGGGGAGGCCTAGGCAGGATGGGGGCTCTAAGGAGCACACAGTAACTGCAGGCCCAGGCCCTCGCATGGAGAAGGGGGATTGGAGGCCCGCTGGCTCTGGCCAGCACGTTCTATCAGCCCGCTGCTTACAGAGTCCTGGGGCCTGCCTCCGCCACAGCCGGCCCAGAGGCCCCATGGTAGCCCTTTCTCCACTCCCCAAATGAACTCCCCTCCCCACTGCTGCCACCCTGGCCCAGCCCCTGCCTGTTGCCATCTTTTGCCTGGATGAGGAGTGCCTCATCACAGGGCTCCCACTTTTGCACTCACCCCATAGACTCCCCAATACAGCAGCCTGCAGAAATGAAGGCCAAATATCGGCCTCTTCCACTGAACCCCCAAACCCCAGTGCCCCACCCTCTGAGAATAAAATCCACAGTCTTCCTCAGGGCTTCTCCCCGCACCGACCCCCCATCCTTGGGGCATCTGCAGGACAGTTCCCTATCAGGTACGGCGTGGCCCACCCTCCCAAATCTCAGTCCACCTAAATTAGCACCTAGCACTCTCTACTCTGCTAAACTGCCCCATGCCCTCTGCAGCCCTCTGCCCGCCTGCCCTCCCTGGAAGGCAGCTCCGCGAAGACTCGGGGCTGCTCATGGCATCTTCCTGGTAGGCGAGGATGCATTAGCTGCTTGTGTGCTACAGGACACTCAGCACCAGGGAGCCCCGTGTGCCCTTCCCCACACCTCCCTGCTTCCCCAGGCCCGAGGCCAGTGCCCCCTGCAGGGCCTCCGGGACGGCTGCCTCTCAGGCCCAGGCCCTGCTCGGAGCCTCACCGGGATCTTGAAGGCGTCCACAGAAACCTGGTTCTCCATGGAGTCCAAGGAGGGCCGGCGGGCGCCCGACGAGGAGTAGCTGACTGGGAAGGCCTGGGCCGGCCGGCGGAAAGTCATCTCGGCGGAGGCGACGGGCGGCTTGTGGGCATTCTTGTGGTAGCGGTGGATGCAGAAGGTGGAGAGCAGCATGGAGACGATGAAGGAGAAGAGCACGGCCGCCGCGATCACTGTGCGGCAGAGCTCATCGCACAGCGGGTCTGCGGGCAGGGGTGGCCGTGAGGGACGGCGCTCTGGGCGGGCCCCGGTGCCCACCATGGGAGGGCTGCCCTGGCAGCCTGAGCCGCTGGCAAGTGCTGCTGGAGCCCTCATGCGAGGGCAACAGAGACGCCCACGTGGCACCCGCCGCTTGGCAGGCACGGTGCCGTACGTTTTCCCTACGGAGACGGTTGTCACCCTCCTACAGAAGGGCCAAGAGGCCCAGGGAGTGTAATCAGCCTGCCCGAGGTCACACGGCAGAGGCAGCGTATGCGCCACACCAGGAGGAAGGCGTGGAAGGCCGCACCGAAGCCAGCGGGCCCCGAGCGCTGGCGGGGAGGCGGAGTCCCTCTTCCATGTGCCCGATGTCTGTTCTATTTTCTCTACAAAACTGGGAGAGGGAAGGGAAGTGGCTCCCGACCTAGCATCATGCAGCAACAACTCAAATACAAGAAAACCGTCCTTGGGCTCAGGCAGGAAAGCTCCCCGGGTGCGCAGGCCCAGGCCACCCTCGGCACCTGCTGGCCCCGAGGCGCACCCGCAGGCTCTGGGTGGGAGGGTGGGATCCCGGCCAGGCAGTGCCAGGGCCCAGAGAAGACCCTGCCCAAGGACCATCTGAGTAGATGCTCAGTTATTGGGTGGAAGAACTTTCCAGCCCAATCTTTCCCATAGAACTTTCGGCTGGAAGTCACTCTGTAGAGGCCCTGACCTAGACCTGTCTGCACAGATTGGGGAACCGAGGCCCAGAGAGAAGGAAGAGGGTCTCCTGGGTTTTACCAGCCTTCCTACAATTTTCCTCCCTGGCTCACTGGGGCTCAGGGAGGTGTGAGGAGCCCTGCCCTGCATGTGACCCCAGCAGTGCCCCCCACCCACTCACCCTGGCTGTCTTCAGGCTCACAGAAGCACTTCTTCTCTTCAGGGAAACAGTTGCAGATACCGAAGCCAGCTTTTATCCCCCAGCGGTCCCCTGGCTCGTGCCCACCAATGATGCTGCCGCCCCCTGGGGACAGATGCAGCCCACTAAGCCTCCTGTTGTGACCACACAAACCAGGACCACCCAGGCAGACGCATGAGAGGTCCCTCCCCACACGATGTCAGCATGCTCAGGCCCAGGGAGGGCAGTGAGCTCTGAAATCTGGGTCACCTGGGTAGGAATCAGCACAGTCTGCCCCCAATCCAGTTCCCTGGCCCCAGCAGGTAGGAGGAGGAACCCACAGGCTGCCCAGGACCCTTGCTGAGGTCCACACATGGTTACTTCACAGAGCAGAGAAGGGGCAGCAGGGAGCCAGGAGAATCAGGGGTCGGGAGCTGTACCGTGGCCAGGGAGACACTGGAGAGTGGGTCAGGGCACCAGGCTCTAGAGTTTTGACGGGGCAGAGCCCTTCGTTCAAAGGAAATGTTAGAAAAAGTCTCGGCACATAAAACTCAGGAATGAGGCTGGTCTGGCTGAAGTGCAGGTGGGAGTCCAAGCCTCTCCCGCTGGCTACCCCTACCCACACCAGGCCCTTGAACTTGCAGGCCCAGTGGTTGCTTACGGAGGCAGTCCTGGGGGCAGATGTTGACATTTCTGCTCTCCACAGCATCACAGTGGCCATCGGGGCAGGTCTTGATGCTGGGGGAGCAGGTGGAGAAGTTCCTGGTGATCCCTATAACACACAGTGGGCCGGTCACCACCACGTGGGAGTACCCGCCCTGGTCAGACTGCCAGAGCCAGAAGGATGGCACCCCAGGGCCTCCCCGGCCAACCCTGCCCCCTCCCAAGGAGCAAACTGAGGCCCCAGCAGAGAATCCGTGAGTGGGATCTTTGTGGTGGTGGGCACAGCTCGGATTTGGCTGCTGTCTACGCCCAAGCCCTACTGTCTGGGGCCACATGCCCTGGCCTGGGACCTCCCAGGTAGAGCCTCTCTGTCCCCTGCACATCCCAACTTTGGCCCAGATCTTCCCAAACCCAAAGGGACCTGTGGTCCCAAAGTGATGAAGAGCCTGAATGTCCTCGTGCTGTGCCTACTCTGCATCCATGCTCACCCTCTCCCGACATCAGGAACTACAAATGTGGACCAGGCTCTGGGCAACAGATGCAGAGAGGGGAGGGCCATCACAGTGGCTGGCAGGGCCCACATAGACCCCGTTTCCACTCAGCCACCATGACCCCTCTCGACCGCCTGGTCGCAGGCCCCTGGCTCTGCGTGGGGCCTACCTTTGCCATCTCCCTGTCTCCACTCGCACCTGCCCGTCAGAGAGCCCAGGCCGCCGCACTCCTCACACTCAGGCCGCCTCTTGCTGACTGCACAGGACAGGGGGCAGCCTGGCTCCTCAGCCACATCTGTGGGTGGCAGAAAGCTGGTCATGGGGGCTGGCCTGGACCCAGTGTCCAGCTGGCATCCAGGGGCAGAGGGAAGCACTGGCCAGGCTCCTCTCATGGGGAGGTGTGCCCTGCCTTAGCACCAGGGCACAGGGCAGTGATGGGGGCCACTGAGGAAGAGGGCTGTCACCACAGTCACGGCAAGGGGGGGGCAGTTACTGGGCTGGGCTAAGTATGGAGGGAGGATGCGAGGAGGTTAATGGCTAGACTCAGCCCAAAACACACATGCCCAGCTAAACCTGTATTTCAGATAAACACTGGCCCTTGCTTTGTGTAACTGTGTCCCTAACATTGCATGGACATACCTGGAAGTTTGTTTTCCAAGAGACTCTGCAAAGGGACATACTTACACCAAAAAATTGTTTGTTGCTTACCTGAAGTTTAAATTTAACCAGGGTCTTGTATTTTCTCTGACCGCTCTAAAGCAAGTGCATGTACTGAATGCATCGGCAGTGGTGACAGGGAGTAGCGACCGTATGCTATGCGGTCACTCTGGGCTACATTGTTTTATTCTTTCTCCTTGTCACCCTCCCAGCCAGCTCCGCAGGGTGCACTGCGATTCTCATTTGATAGGGAAGGAGACTCAGGCTCAGGGACGCTGCCATTAGGTGAAGGGGAGCAGGCCCGGGCCCCTTCTGTGTGGGGGAAGCCCGTGGCTCTGCCACACCCTGCCTGTCCCGACCCTCCACGGGGCCCTGGCACTCACACGTCCCCTCCACGGTGACGACCAGCGGGGCCTGGGTCTGCCTGCGGGTTGGCCGGTTGGTGGCCACCACCGTGTACTGGAGTTGAGAACAATCGAGCCGCTGCAGGGCTTCCGTGTCATTCACGAACAGGGTCCCCGTGGTGTCCTCGGCTGAGGTGACCACCCCCAGGACACTGCAGTTGGTGCTGGACAGCTGCAGCTTGTACTGCACGTGGATGCCGCTGAACTCCTGGCAGTTGTCCACACAGACTTTCCCAATCTAGGCATGGGGCACAGGGAATGCCTCAGCCGGGTGGTGCACCGGCCTGTGGTGGTGGCTGGGGGGGCTTCTGGGCAGCCCAAGTCCTGGAACTGTCCCCTACTGAGTCCAGGGATGACAGATCCCCCCTCCCCACAAGTCCCCATCTTCCACGTCCCTGGAACCTGCAGACCCATCCACCTGCCTGGCCCTGCCCTGCCCGTCACACCACCGCCCACCCCTGCTCCTGGGAGCCAGAGGCAAAAGAACACAGGGCACTGAGGTTTGGTTTAGTGACTGCCTCGAGAGGTGCCTGCGCTCCCAGCTCGCTCTTCACTCACTCACTCGTTTAGGTCCGAAGGCTGATTGGGTCCCTCCTCCTCACCTCCCTCGCTTCTTCTGGCCAGGCCAGTTTTGTTCTGGGGACCACCAACTGCCATCCTCAGTGCGTGTGGCTGGGGTGCTCCACCCCCTGCCCAGGTCACCTGCCCGGGCAGTCAGAGCATTGCCCTGGGGCCGCAGGATTCATGCAGCATTGCTGCCTGTCCTACCCGAGCCCCAAGGGGCCTTCCTGGGACTCTGGCTGGAAGCCCTGGGAAAGAGAGGATGCTTCTCCTGGGGATGCTAGCCTGGCAGTGCCACTGCTGGGGCCCAGAGCTGGGCAGCTGGAACTCTCCTTTTTATCCCTCAGCCATATGAGTTAGAATGAGAGTTTCAGTGGCTTAAAACCAGAAAATCTGACTAGTCAAGTTTTGGGGCAGAGGGCAGGGGTGGGGCAGGGTGAGGCACTGCTTGCAGCCACTCAGCAGGTCCTTGCTCAGCCTCGCTCAGGCCCAGGGCAGAGCCAGGCTCCTCCACACCCAGGCCTGACACCGCAACCAAAGCACCTCCCGGATGTCCCAGCACATCCCCATATAAAGCACGCTCGCTTCCACGCCCCCGTAGGGTCCTCCAAATTGCCCAAGGTCACTATCCTTAATTTACAATCATAAACACTGGGGAGTGGGGGTGAAAGATCACAGCGAGTTTGAGGCTGGACTGGGACTCAGGTCCCTGGGATCTTTTGAGTGTTTTGGGGTAGACGTGACACATCTCCTGCAGTGCTTGCTCTCATCCAATATCCCCTTAGACACCCTTCGGGCCACTCTGCCTTGTCACCTCCCACCATCCTGGACCTCTGCCTCCATGAAAGGCCATGGGTGGCAGATCAGGGAGCTTGGATATGTCCGAGGGTGGGGTCCTTTGTGTGTGGGACCTGGGTGGCTATCAGGAGTAGAGGGGGCATGGGAACCAACCACAGAAACTAGGACAACTGGAGATGGCCCTAAGCATGACCTTCTGAAGAGGATGTATCTGAAACTGCTCCATTAGAAACGAGCAGTATGTGAAGTCATATGCATGCTGCAATTGCAAGTAAAATTCCAGACGTCCTTAAGAGAAACGTTCTAGAAAAAACTGTACCAAAATGCTAAGCACTAGTTGATACGCGAGACGGGGTCAGTCCTCTCTGCCCTTCCTCTTCTTTAATGGGTACTTCAAGTTTTTTCCACTTCTAACTTATTTCAATGACAAAGGCGAGATAAGCTCTAATACACGCACTTGTAGAAGGCAAAGAGGAAGTGTTCCTCACCTTTCCCTGCAGAGGGCGCAACTGTTAACCGCTACCTGCATTTACATACTGGCAAATTCAATCAATGAAAATTTGTTTTTGAACATAAGGAGGCATGTGAGGCCAGTATTTTTACAAACCCCTTTTCACTTAATCCACCAGGAACATCTTTCTAAGTCACCATATGTAGATTCAGCTGGCACTGCTCTCACGTTAGGACAAAACAGGCTTTAAAGATACCAAGAACAGAGAGGGCAAAAAAGAGGCCTATGGTGCCCACCAACCCTGCCCATGACTCTGCCAACTTCGCCATGGCCCCAGCTTCCCTGGCCCTGTGCCCGTGGCTTCCCTGGGCCACTCCGTGTACTGGTTAGGCCAGAAGGACTGTCTCTCACCCCCAGACCTGCTTGCAATCTGTTAAACAGAGTGTCCCACCCTGGGGGTCCTCCACCCCTCCATGCCCCTCCCAGGCAGGCATCGGGCTGTGGGCTCACCTGGGCAAAGCGGCGGGCTCGCCTGCTCACAGTGAAGGAGTAGGCGCTGGGTAAGTGCAGGCTGACGGGCAGCACGCTCACGTTGAAGTGGAGGCGGAGGACGCCCTCCCCCGGGCCCTGGAAGTCCGAGTCATTGACCAGCACGGCCAGCTGCAGCGAGCGGCACTCCGAGATGGGGAGGCTCCGGTTGAGAACCAGCCCTGTGGGTGGGGGCACAGTGATGACTGCCTCGTTGCTTCGGGCCTGGGACCGTTGCTGTCCTACACCACTGCGCGGTCCTCCCAGCCACACACCTGGCACATACACACACGTGTGCAAACACAGATTTCACATGTGTGCTGTGTGGATCACAGACTTGGCAGGTGGGGCTACGTTGGAACCACTGTTTAAATGTTGGCCGTTGTGCTGAGCTGGACGCCGAGAGAAGCCTTCTCAGCTGGGAGGTCACCTGTAAGTATGGTGGTGTGTGTGTGTGTGTGTGTGTGTGTGTGGTGGGATGTCTGTGTGTTGTGTATACATGCGTGGTATGTGGTATGCATATAGAGTGTGTGTGTGTGTGTGTGTGTGTGTGTGTGGAGCATGTGTGTGTGGGGTGTGCGCATACACGAGATAAAGATCTATCACCACTGAGGCCCTGGGATGACTATACTGGCCTCTGTTCCCCCAGAGAACTCTCCCCAACAGCTGCAGCCTCCCCTGGAGCCCTGGACCCCACAGGCCCCCGGTGCGTGGAGCCTGCACACTTCCGTAGCTGCTGTATACCATGGCTATGGTTCTAGTTTTGCAGAGACACAAGGAAAAGGGTGAGGAGGCTTTGGTACACATGGTGTACAGAATGAGTGGGCCTGGCAGGGATGACATTTTCCCTTATACAGGGCAGGAGACCATCAAAGGCTCAGTGGGGGTGGGGAGGATGAGAAACAAACAGGATCTGTCTAGGCAGAAAGGGGTAACACTACCAGCGATTCTGGGATCCTTCAGAAGCAGATCCCAAATCAAGGATTCGAGTGCAAGTTGGGTATTTGGAAGGTGATCCCAGAAAACATGGGCAGGAGGGTGGGGGCAAGGCAGCTGATGAAGATGCCCCATCCTGCAGGTAAGCACAGTGGGCCCCTGGAACTTAGTCCTGCAGTACATTCCAGGAGCAAGATAGGACAATCTCTGCGGGATCCTCTGGCTCAAACACACAGAGCTGCCATTGTATACTAACCCCTGTTAGTAGAGAGCTGTGGGGACAAGGGAGAAATAATCCCCAGGCACTCAGGTACCTCGGGGGTTGCAAAGCAGAGGCCAGAGGAAGGCCTCAGGCAATGATGTATATACCTGTAGTGGGCAGTGAGCCCTGGCATGGTCAGCATGGGTAAGTGTGGTAGGGCCCTACCAAAGTCTGCCAGGAGGCAGTTCAGGGAGAGAAGAAAGCCTGTAAAACCCCACCAAGGTGGCCAAGGTGAGCCCAGTAGAGACAAGGAAGGGCGGAGAGGAGTGGAAGGATCTGTGGCCTGGGGCTCGGAGGGCCAGGACAAGTGTGTGTGTGTGTGTGTGTGTGTAGGGTGTGTGTGTGTAGGGTGGTTAGAGAAGAGTGGACTGCCGGTTCCCTAGGGGGCCCAGCCAGGCCATGCCTGGCCCCTCTTACTGTAGTCATGCACAGTTGCCCGCACAAAGCTGCCGTTGGCCTGGGTCAAGGTCTCATTGGGTGAGTGCTCGACACGGAAAGTCTGGAGGGCCCAGGCATCCCCAGGGAGTAGTGTGCTTGTGTATCGCCTCAGCAGCTCCCCAGATGCTGGCACCACATCTGCGTCGAAGACACGTATCGTGGCCACCACAGTGCCCTGCGGAAAACAATGGGTGTTAGTCAGAGCTGGTGAGAGGGACCCCTCAGAGACCCTGCAGGCTGAGACCTCCGGAGGGCACATGCCCCACAAGTGGACCAAGAGTGTGCAGTCAGAGCAGGCTCTGGGGACAGCCTGAGCTGTGTTAGAGTTCCCACGGGGTCCCCTGCCAGTCTAGCCCAGTCACCCTCCCTGGGCCACTGCGCCTCACCTGTGCAACAGGTATGACAGGCACCTACAGACTTCCCGTCAGAATGGATTAAAGCAGCTGCCCAGGTGCTCCACTGACAGACTTCACCAGGTCCCACAGAGAACAGCAAGCTGGGCCCCACAGGGTGGAGTTAGCTCCCTGTCACATAGCGATAGATGGCAAAGCCAGATCCAAGCCCGCCCAGGTGTACGCCAGAACGTTCTCCTCCAAACACCTTCTATATACCAGGCTGGAGGGGATCACGAGGAGAGTTCTGAGCAGTCACTGGGCATCTTTGCTTTAGCTGCTAACAAGACTCCTTGTTGTCACCCCAAGGCAGCCGTTCAAGCTTATGCGATCTTTACCAATAAGATGTACTTTCTTCCCGCCGGCCCATCCACCAAACCAGCACCTGGGTTACCCAGAGACCCAACCACACGTCTCCCATTGTGCCTTTGGCCAGCGGGCTGCAGGATGGCCCAAGGCCCAGCAGGTGGCAGTCACGCTCCACCTGCCGGACCAGAGCGGGGCGGGCCGAGGTGGGCGGGGCCGTGCTGGGTGATCCCAGCCGGGAGCCACTCCCGGTCTTGCTGCACTGCTGGGCTACCCTCCAGGAGTCTCTCTGACCCTCCAGTGAGGGCTGACAGCGGTGGAAGGGGATGCCCTCCTGGCCGCTGTCCTCTCCCCCTCTCCAACGCGCGCCCTTGGCCTTGCCAGTCTGGTCAGACTCATGCTAGGCATCCGGGGTCCCTGGACACTCGTCGGGGGCCAGCTGGGCTGACCTCCCCTCTTCTCCTCCCCTCGAGACACGCAGAAAACCCCAACACACAGCTGGGTGGACAAATGAAAGACAAATGGCTGGAGAGATGCTCAGCCACATGGCTGGATGGCTAGACGGACAGCTCAATAGACCAAGAATAAATGGTGGACGGAGTGGCAGACACCCAACAGATGGACGACAGACAACAGACAAGCACAGCGGTGGCAGATAGGCACCTCCTTCCTCTTGAACTCCACCACAGCGCTGGCGGTGTCGAAGCCCCCGAGGAAGGTGGGCGCCGAGTCGTCCTCATCGTACACGGTCACGGGGAAGGGCACCATCACCACCTCCTCTTTGCGCGCGCCGACGCGCACCGTGCACGCGGCCACCAGCTCATACTTCTCCCGCAGCTCGCGGTCCAGGGCCCAGCGTGTGCTCACCTCCAGGCTGTCCGGGGCGCAACGGAAGGGCAGATTCTCACCTACACACCAAGCAGACCAGGAACCCCAACATGACTCCTGGGCCAGGGAGCAGGGTGAGCTGCCTTTTTCAGGGGCCCGCCAGGAGAGGCTGCAGGGGAGGGTGGCCTCTGTGGGTCAGAGTTGGGGTGCATGCTGGCCCTGCCCTGAGCTCCTCCTCCTCGGCTCCAGATTGGAGAGGGGTGGGGCACAGAGCTCCAAGCACTGGTTGGCAGTGATGACTGTGCACTAATGAGCTTTCCTGGGCCTGCCAGTTTCACTCGCGCTGATGGGGAAGCTCGGGGAACCAGAAGGCCTGCGTCAGGTCCTCACCCTGATGACCTAGGGAGGGCTGCTCACATCACGTCCCCAACCTTGCCTCCCCTGGTGGGGATGGAGGTGTGGGGGACACCAGCTCAACCAGGCTGCAGGCCCAGAGATCCAGCTCCCAGCATTGGCTGGCTCTTGAAAAAAATAGTTATGCAATTTTAAAATTATGGAAATAATATGTGCTCATTTTAGAGAATGTGAGAAATAAAGCCACTATTCCACCATATGAAAACAAACATGGTGGACATTTAGTGTGCGGTTTGAAGTTAACACACAAATATTTCCAACTGCCTTCTTTGCATGCCCACTTTATACCTCCTGGCTGTGTGACCCCAGATTGGTTGTTCCGCCTCTCTGTGCCACTGTTTCCTCACCAGAGGATGGGCTAGATGAAGGCTAACATGCTTGCTCCTCACCAGGCCCTGCTGTATGGTCAGTGACTCATGTATCTTCCCACAACCTGGTGAGGGGAGGACCAGTCGGGATAGTACACTCTTCAATCCACGCCTGTCCTGAAATTCATCCTCTAGGAATAACTCAGAGAAGGGGGAAATGCTGACGGCTTGAGGGTCAACACTGACCACCCCCACAGCCAACCACAGAGGTTACGTCAGCTCCACCCGGCAGGAAAGCAAACATCCCTCAGTCCCTCACATCAGCACCACGTATTACATTACACGTGGGAAATGCTTATCATATAATGTTTCTCTCTGTTGTTTATGGTTACAAAAACATGCTCAACAAAATTTAATTATGCAATCTTCATGAGGAAGGGCAGCTTTCTAAACCTGATATTTGGCTGACAATCTTGCACAAAGACATTTATCCCTGCTGCAGGGCAAAGGTAAGGATCCTGGGGGAGTGGATGGCTCCTTTTCTTACTTTACTGAGATTTTCTTTAGCTCATTACCATGTGTGTGCGATAAACTTGGTGTGAATCCAGGTTCCACTGCAGTCTACCTTCCATGTCCCAGTTCCTTGCTTTTGAATATTTCAGGGGTGCCTCTTGTCATCAGTCTGCTCGGGTGCCTTCTCTCACCTCCACTGGGATTCACCTCCTGGTCCCCCCTTGGCCAGCCTCCCCAGGGCCATCTTGTGGCTCGGTTGGCTGCCCTTGCAGCTGCTCAAGCAGAGTCCTAGAACCACGCTGGCTCCCCTCTTTCCCTCAACACCCACAGCCAACTCATCAAGAAATCCTGCTGGATCTTCCTTCAAAACATGCTCAGAAGCCGCCTGCTCCTCGCTGCCCTGTGGCTTCCACCTTTCTTCCAGTTTCCATCCTGCTGCTCAGGGATTTCTCAGGTAGCCTCCTGTTTCCTTGCTTCCTACCCCACACCACCCTGTACCGGATCATTCCTAGCACAGCAACCAGAATAATCCTTTAAAGGTAAGTCAGGGCTTGTCAATACCACCCCCTACAAGCCTTCTATGACTCTCCAGTCCCTCAAGGAGAAACTCTCAGGAACTTCTCTGTCCTCATGGGCCTCTGGTCCCCCCACCCCAGCTACCCCGGGGCCCCACCGCAGCGATCTCAAAGGGGCTAGCCCAGCTTGCCTGATGCCCTCCCACCTTTGCTCCAGCACTCCCCTCCCTAGCCATGAGATAGAAGACTGCAGTCTCCACCACTCCACATCCTTGGAGTTTTACTTCCCAGATAGCATGTTCCAGAGGCCACCCCAGGGGAATGGAGGCTCCAGGCAGGCAGGATTTTGACTTGTTTAGTTCACGGTCACATCCTTAGCCCCTAGAACAGTATTTGGTTCATGACAGGCACACAAGAAGTACTTCTGGAATATTAAATGAATGAACGAATGGTGTGGTGGTGAAGAGTAAACCAGATGGCTCATGTCAAGGGCTGGCGGGGCTGTGCCTGGCACTGAGCAGACGCTGAGGGGGGCCCTACGAAGCCAGCACTCACCTTCTAGAAGCCTGTAGGACACACTGATGTTGGGGCACAGGAACTGCACAGGCAGCAGCCGGAATTGGTGGAAGGTGCCAGGAGGCCTGTTCTCTCTGATGCGGAAGGAGACGCTTGTTTCGGGAAAGCAGAGCTCCCGGGGTTTGAGGGAACCACAAGCCGGGAAGGAAGTGTTGATGAAGGAGAAGTACACCCGGGCACAGCCTGGCCACTGGCACTCGCCCTCACGTAGGGACGCAGACAACAGGAAGACCTGGAGGTAGATGGTGAGCACAGGGAAGCCGCCATCTGCAGAGAGAAAAGTCAGGCTTGGTGGGGCACCAGCCACACCCACAGGTGGTGGGGAACGGAACGGGGAAGGGGCAGGAGCTCCAGGGTTGGTGTAAAGCCCAGTCCTCTCCGTTGTCCACAGGGCTCCACTGGGCTCTCGACCCTGGCCAGCCACCTTCCGCTTGCCCTGAACTGCCCTAGACCTGGGGTCTGTCTCTGCTTCAGGATCTCATGGTTTTACTCCCTCTGCTTGGGGGTGCCTCACAGGCCCACCTCTCTTGTCATTCAGGTCTCGGCTCAAATACCACTCCCTCAGGTGCGCTGAGCACTGGGGTCTATTGTCCCCCCTATTTCTCCCCACCACCCTCCGGCACATCATTGCCCCCTCAGAGGGGTACCCTGAGTCCCAGGTCTAACAGCAGGTAGAGGACTTCCCCAGGCTGGCTGCTTGTGGGGGCTCTTCACCCTCCCGAGGGACTGTCCTCCTGGAACGCCTCTGCAGAGACACACCCATGGACAGACTTCCCCAGCACCTGGATGGGGAATTTCCAGCAAACTCCATCATGGAGGCTTTCTCCAACAAGGTCTGGATCTCTCTCAGCCCTATAGTGGTTGCTCTCCCACATTTGCTCTTCCCGTATTCATCAGAGTTCTCTTTGCTTCTTCCTAGCCTGTCCTTTGGTGCTTCAATCCCCGGTTGTAGTTAAGCATTTTCTAGACGAACCTGCCCTGTTCCAGTTACCGTGTGGTTTCTCTCCTGACTGGACTTAACAGGTGCAGTCATGAACAGAACAGGCCTCCTAGGAAATGTGGACCCTCGGCAAATTCCACTCTGGCCTCTACCCCTGGAAACCTAGTTTAAGTTCCCCAAAGGGGCTTGGGATGGAGGTGGCAGCAACCAAGTACAGGCAGAACCAAGACCCATCTCAGATGCCACCTCCAGAACTGGGGGTGCCCCGGTGGTGGGCTCTGTCATGTGACCTTGGCTTTCCTTGGCAGACAGGGGCGCAGTCATTCTGCCCCTGCTGGGCAGTGCGGCCCACTCTGCATTCACAGGCATGCCACAGGTCTCTTGAGGGGGCTCAGGGCTGGTGTGAGGGTGCAGTGAGGCCATGTCTTCGGAGGAGATGCTTGGAGGTGGGGAGCTATTGGGTGTGCGATCACCATTTTGTGCCACAAGGCAGAAAGCTGCTCCGCTCCCCAGTATCAGGGTCACATGTGGCCTTCTCTCTGCTCTGACTCCTGCTCTGAGGAGGCTGGCCAGGTCTTCCTTCCACGCCACTTTCCTCCCCGGCACCAGGCCTGAGTCCCCACTGGGTACCGAGGGCAGCTTGCTGTTGATGGGAAGACAAGCTTTCCGTGGAACTGCTACTTCTCTAGAAAGTTCCAGGTCATTTGCTAAATCAAAATTTTCCAATTTTTCCAGGCCCTCTTAACCCCTCTCTTGTAACCCCAAATCCTATACACCCAAATGGAAAAGCCATCTAAGTCCAGCATGGAAAGAGCACCCGATTCTTTCCAAGGGTTCTCCAAAATCCTAACAGACTCAGAAGGCCAAGGGTCATCAGCGGCCCCCAAACTCATCCTGGTGTCCTGGCCAGGCTGGACAGAGAGGCAGGCCAGCCTCACCTCACCCTTCACTCTTACACAGCAGGGATGGTCCAGGAACCACCCTCTTGAGTCTCACGGTGGGTGTGATGTGGGCTGTGGGAGGGGAAGTCAGGGTGGGGTTAGGTGGCTCCCTTACTTTGGATGCTGAGCTTCTCCCAGGCGCTGCGATCTAGGCTCCGGTTAAGGTAGAGAAGGCCTGTGTCCTCCTCGATGCGGATCCAGTCGTTCTCATGCAGCCTCGCACGGTAGGCGATGCCGTAGAGATGCTGACCCAGGCGGAAGCTGGGCACCTCCTCGGGGACGTCCCGCAGGGCATGGACGTAGAGCAGGGGCATGCCAGCTGGCTGGTCCACATACAGTTTCTCCCAGTAAGCATCCCTAGAGAAGTAGAGTCCTAGCGGAGCTGCAGAAAGCAGGGAAATGTGTGAGCGAGGGAGGAATGACGATGTCCCAAGCAGGCCTCCCAGGTAGACCAGCACTCTCCAGCAGCTTTATTTCACACTTTGATAAAAGCTTCTTTGTGGACCCCAAAATTTACTAACTTAAAATTCTAATCTAGCATAAGTAATAGTTTATAAGCAAAATTGTATGCAATTTCCTTGTTCTGAAATTATAAGAAAGAAATCTCACCCTCCATAATTTACAGGATTAAAGACTTTTATACAGAAATAAAGAAATAATAAAATTCTGATCTGAGTAGGACTTTCTCACTTGTAGACCTAAAAAGATACAACACACACCTATCTGTGTATCTAAAAACAAGCTGCAGATGGACTGCCTTAAAACAGAAAAAGAAAAGAGAGGAGGAGGCAGTACAAAACACCTGCAAAATTGTTCTCAGTTACCCAAGTTTGATAAGCATGTGAACCACACAGAGCTGGGAGTTCACTCAGGTTTCTCAGAAAATCACCTGGATTCAGAGTTTTCAAGTGTACACAGTGATGCCAGACAAGCAGGGCAGGCAAGAGTCACCAAAAATGAAGGAGGGCACTTTACTGATTTATTCACAAGATTTACTTATTTGAGAGAGAGTGTGCGAGAGATCACGAGTGTGTGCATGTTGGGGGAGGGGCAGAGGGAGAGAATCTTCAAGCAGATTCCCCGCTGAACGAGGAGCCTGTACCCGGGCTTGATCTCACGACCCACGAGATCATGACCTGAGCCAAAACCAAAAGTTGGATGCTTAACCAACTGGGCTACCCAGGCGCCCCTGAACCAGGGCGCTTTATAAGAGAAACAAATCTTTATTTATTTATTTTGCAGATTTTTAATTTATTTTTTGACAGAGAAAGAGACAGAGAGAGAGGCAACACAAGCAGGGGGAGTGGAAGAGGGAGAAGCAGGCTTCCTGCTGTGCAGGGAGCCCAACGTGGGGCTCGATCCCAGGACCCTGGGATCATGACCTGAGCCAAAGGCAGCCGCTTAACCAACTGAGCCACCCAGGTGCCCCAAGAGAAACAAATCTTTAAAGTTAAACATACTCCTACCATTTGACCCTGAAATCCTACTGAATTTATCCAGGAGAGGAACACATATGTCCATCAAATGACTTATTCACAAATGGCAGGGTTATTCACATAGCCAAGAACTGGAAACAGCCCAGATGCCCTTCAACGGGTGAGTGGATAAGCAAAGGGTGGTTTTCACACCACGCAATCTTATGCCGCAATAAAAAGGGATGAACAATTGATACACACGACAACGTGGAAGGATCACCAAGGGACTGTGGATAGAGCTCTGATTGCCACAAGGAAGAGGATGTGGACCATGGCCTCACTGGGTAAGCCCACTACTCTGCTGATTTTGTGTAAGTTCAACATTTTTCATAATAAAAGGTTTTAAAAAATAGTAAGAATTTTCAAGAAGCTGGATAAATAGGCGAACGATGCTTGACAAACCACTAAAACCCTGTCAACACTCTATAATGCACAGAAAGTACCCAACATACAACACAAACATTAGAACTCATGTATTCGCTCACATGAAGCCAATTTCTCTTTTCAATCAGCTTCTTTCCACCTAGACCCTACTCTTTTCATAGCTGTCGGGGTAAGCAGTCAGGTCAGACTGCACCAGCAGAGGTATGATACCCCTGGCACCGCCTGGGTCCTCAAGGACATGTTTGGGTACGGGAAACAATCAAGTGCCAACTGGAGTCAGGTGGAGACCACAGGGAAGACCTTTTTAGATCCCGAAGCGGTAAAACGGTAAGCAAACAGGAAGGCTGCCTGCACCGTGGAATGTTCTCCAGGATGACTTCAAAAGGCAGCCAGACTACGAGTGCCACCTTGGGGGGGAAGCATGCCCTTGGCCCAGTCTGCTCCCTGCCAGACAGGCCTGGGCTGGGAAGGAGCAAGGGCTCCGGAGAGGGAGGGAGAGGGAGAGAAGGAAGGGAGGGCGAGAGAGAGAGAAGAGAGAGAGATGCTCTGGTCAGAGCCAAAGGCCTGACCCTGCACACCCCGCACTCAACACAGAGATGGAGGGAAGCAGGGGTGTGGGTGGAGGAATGACAACACTTAGAATGTGGCCTTTTGGACCTCTGGAAATCTCCTCCCGAGGACAGGTGTCCCTGGAGTGGGACCTAGAATTACTCAGTCCCTGTGGGTGCAGTTCAGGGAGGGGCAAGCCAGGACCTCCAAGGAGCCTACCTTGTGCTCTGAGCTGAAGTTTACTGGGGGAAGGATCCACTCCAAAGTGTCACATTGGCTGCCATTCAAGGGGGAGGCAGCTAATGGAATGCCATGAAGTCACACTGGGGAACTCGGGTGGGAGTGCCGAGACCATGCCTCCCCCACCCTGGGGTCTCACCGGCAGACACGGGCAGGAGCTGCCTGAATGCCACCCTTCTCTTCCCACACCCTCCCCCCTGGCCCAGGAGGACACAGGTTCTCAGATGCATTCAGGGCTGACCTCCTTGGGATTTAGCAGCTGATGCAATGAGGGACAGGAGTGCAGCTCAGAGGGCTATGTTGGCCCCACAGGGCCACAGGGCTGGCCTCTTGCTGCCCCTGTTGAAGGGCTGCTGATGCACCAGCACAGGGCTGAGTGATGGGCCATGGCTAACAGGTCCTCTGAGGGCCCCTGCACACCTGGGATGCATTCCAGAGGCTTGCACGTCCCAGGAGAGGCACCCACACTCCCCACAGTGTGGAGCCCCAAAGAGGACCCTACCAACTCATCAAGTCATGACTCAGACAAAGAGAGGAATGCTCCCTGTGGGTGAGGAGACACCCACACGGAGGGGACAGTGGTAGGGGAGTCCCAGATGGGGCTTGGCAGCCACCCCCCACCAGGAGCATGCCAGAGCCTGCTCGGTGCTGCCTGGCAGGGTAACTCCTGGCTTGCTCTCCTCGGCTGGTCCGTCCAGTCTCCCCCGACAGAAATCGGATATTACAGGGGCTCCCAACCCACCATGGCAGCATCTCAGCATGGCCACGTCCTAGACGGCAGGCTCAGAAGGGGGATGAGAGCCAGGCCCAGCACTGCGGCTCCACCAAGGGCCTGAATCACGAGCAGCGGCCCAGCTTCCTCGTCCTCCAACAGTCCCCGAAGTTCTCCACAAGTCAGAGCATCCAGCAAGAGCTCTAGGGGAGGGACTGAGTGGGGGGCTGCCAGGGAAGGCAATGCTTGCTGCCCCATGGACAGGAAGAATGATTCATGACTCTCTTTCCACCCCCCCGCCGACCCTGTCCTGACCGCACAACTTTTGGAAGGGGCTGACCCCCTGCAGTGCTGCTGCCTCTCAAAGGTGGAGTGTGGGGTGGGCACAGCCCGGCTGGGTGGCTCTGGGAGGCAGCATAGCACAAGGCCAATCCCCCACGCATACACACTGACCTTTCATCCTCTCCACAGCCCCAGCACAGACAGCAAGAGAACGGGAATTTGTAAAGCAGGGTTCCAGAGAGGCACATCCTTCACCAGCCCACTCACCTCCCGGTGCCCCTACAGCTGCCATGCTCTTGATCCCCAGCTGACCAGGCCTGGGCCCACTGAGGTAGCCCTGCCCGCTGGGACACGCTTTGTTCCCCCACAAAGCCCTGAGCAGTGACCGAGGCTCCCTGCAAGTCAAGAATACCGACTCGAGGGGGAAGGCAGTCCTGATGACTCACCATCTCCCTGGGCAGCTTGGCATTTCCGGGCACAAAAAGGAGGAGAGACTAACATCCAGGGGCCTCACAGGGTGGTGGCCAGGGGCAGCCTGGGCTTGTGACACCAACACCGGCTAAGGAGGGGACTCAGCCAAGACGAGTGCTGCCAACCTCCTCAGCACCCTGGCAGAAGGGCACGCGCCAATCACTCATGATCTGAGAGGCTGCCGTTGGGCCTCAACTCCTGGAGCTGCAGGGAACGCTGCTGGGTCCACCAGACTGGGCACAGACCAGAGCAGCCCGTGTCTTCCAGAGCCCATGTCACCAGGCCACCAGCTTTCCTTGGTGTGTTTGACCCCTCCACGGAGAGGTGACGTCTGCCTTCTTGCCCCCAGAGGCCCAGCAAGGGGTTGCTGCATGTCAACAGAGCTTACATCCTGAGAGGCAACACTGCTCCTGCGGGCGCTTTCTCTCAGGACACGCATTTCTGGCCCTGGTCAGCAGGGTAGAACCGAGTAGAACTTGGCTGTTCTTGGAGCCACTGTGGGAAGGGACTTTCGGGGTGGTTCTGGTGACCCTTGGGGGTTGTAGAAGACAGGTCTTGTCAGGGGGAGATACTCTCCCCACAGCACCCCACTGCTGGGTAGGTAGGAGCAGCTCCAGAATTGGGCTCCCCTCTGGGGGGCCTCCTTGACTGCACACACTTTCAGTGGTACCGGGGCCAGGAGGTAGGACGGCCTGAGCTCCCAGAGCTCCCCACCCCCAAGCTGGTGCAGTTCCCACCACGCAGACCACATGTGCAGGAGAGAATGGGTCCTGCCTGCTCTCATCGCACAGAGCCCAGCCCTACGGGATCTGTGTGGGGCCCAGTTGATTGCTGCCAAAAGGGATTTGTGGGTTGGGCAATGATTGTGAGCAGAAACAGACTTAAATGCACTTAAGTACCTCCCAGGTGGTCCCTGTAGCCAGGCATGGCTCCCTTAATGCTCCTCAATGTCACAGACACTTCTAGATGGGAAGGCAGGGAACTGAGGAGGTGGGTGCAGGGCCGGCCTCGGGCGGGTATAGCCTGGGCAGTCCCAAAGGACCCCACACTTGGTTTAATGCTCTGACGTCACTGTTTTGAAATTCTTCACAATTCTAGAACAAGGGGTCCACATCATCATCCTACACTGGGCCCCACAAATGTTGCAGTCAGTCCTGGCAGGTGGATGAGCAGAGCCTGGGATGGGCCACTGGTGTCCACTTCCACAGGGCTGTGCAGCCTCTGCAGTCTGCTGGCCTCCACTGCATCTCAGCTTCTCCAGCTGCGAAT